ATTGACACAACATTGTAAACTGACTACACCTCAATAAAAATTTTTTTAAAAAGTGAAAAAAAACTTCACTTCAAATAATTTGATTGCTTTTCTGATGTTATTTGTATAACGTCAAATTGTTCTAACAATTTTACCTCCCCCTAATTACATAATAAAGGATGTAGATATTTTATGCATCATCCCAAATAATCAAAATAAAGCTGTTAAAATTGAGGGGAGATAAACACTATAATTAGATCATCAGTGTATTAAGAATTGCAGGTGCCAAACAGTAGTTGAAGTGAGGTAAAATAATAAGTAATTGGAATTCAAGTTAATTGACACCCAAAGGACAAGAAAAAAAATTAAGTCAATAAGAGTTATTCAGATTGATAAAAGGTACTACCTGTAAAGAAGGTATGGCAGTCATGAAGTTTAAATAGCAAATCACACAAGCAAATTATATAAAATAAATACTATTTAAAATATGAGGATAAATTGACAGCAACAAAATATAGCAGGAGACAATGTGATACTATCAGGAAAAATATACACTGAGTAGATAAAAACAACAACATGGTCTTTATTTGGAAAATATAATAATTAACATATTGAACAAAGAGCTGTAAATTGAATTGTCATATTTGAAAACATATACTATGCCTCCTTGTCCAACATCCATAAGGAATTTTCAAAAAGTGGGCAGAAGTAAAACTTCAATAATTTCCAAAGAGAAGAAATTGCATAGGTCACATTTTCCAGCCCCAGTTTTTTTTTTTATTATTGAAGTATAGTCAATTTAAAATGTTGTATTAATATCTGGTGTACGACATAGTGATTCATTCATATACATATATATCCTTTTCATATTCTTTTTCATTTTGGCTATTACAAGGTATTGAATATAGCTTCCTGTGCTGTACAGTAGGACCCTGCTGTTTATCTGACTTATGCCAAATTGGGGATTTCATAGGTACATTATCTATCCACTCAAGTTCACTTACTCACTCACTCAACAATTACAAAAGCACAGAAGTGTGCCAGACTGCTGCTTCTTTTTCAGTAATTCAGTTTGTTGTGGGTTTTTTTTTCCACGTGCATCTAAGAAAGTTGAGCTTTTGGGACTATCTCACTGCCCTAGAAATTTAATTAATACCAGCCCCATGGACATGCTTGAGTATGGAATACAACTTAGTACTTAGATGTGAAATGTCAGCAAACGGGAATGGGGCCTCTGAGCAGTGGCACGTAAGGGTTAAGGTCAAAGGGTATGGGATCCACCAGGGCTGGGTTCAAATCCTGGCTCCAGTACTTCCCCCCATATCAGTTTCTTCATCTGTAAAATGGTAATTAATAATAAATAATTCATGAATTTGCGAAAGAATCAAATGCGATAATGGAATACAAAATGTTCCAAAGTGGCTGGCATTCAATAAATGATACGATGCCTGCCTCTGCTGAGGGAATACAAGAAATCTTTCCCTGGCAAGGGTACATTTAAGAAATAATTCACTTAAAGAGAGAGATGCAGCGCTGTCAAGGCTGGGAAACTACTCCACAGCCACTCCAGGCAACAACCACCTCCAGGAAGCCTGGTGATTCCACGAGCCCCTTGCCCACCTCCCTCATATAAACAGGTTAGCAATGACGCAGTCAGGAGTAAAGCTGACTTCGTTTCCCGCCTCGCCGCGCTGGTGGCCCCTGCCCGGCCGCGCGCAGGTGTGGTCCCGGGTCTCCAGCCCCTGTCGTCGCGCCGCAAACGCACAGCCCCTTACTCGGTCTCCCAGGCAGGATCCCTGTATAGGATTCCACGACTACACAGCTCTCTCGCCCCCACCATTTTCACCGAAACCCTTAGAACCCAAGCCACCGCCCCTCTCCCTTCGCAGCCCCGCCGCTGGTTCTGAAGAGGACCTTTACTGGGAAGCGCTTTATCTCCGGCGCTCGGTCCTGGCTGCGACCCGGTCACTCGACCCTCTCCCCTGAGCAACAGCAGGGCCTGCACTTCGAGCAGTTCGCTGCCCTGCGCCCTGGCCGCGCTGCCGCCTAACTCCTAGTTACCGCAGTCAGGGGTTCGAGCACCTCCTCCGGGTACTCCGAAGTTGGGATGCTCACCTGTTCGGCGCGGCTGCCTTTGTGCAGGTGACCCAGGGGTAGCGCAGGTGACTGGACTCGGGCCTGGCCTTTGACTTCGCCCGCACTCTGCCGCCCTGCATTCAGCGTCTGAGTTTGGTTACCTCTTACTCAAAAAGTCCGCGAAGAAAAAAAATATTCACACCCTACAGAACCTCGGCGTTCCACACCAGCCCTGCACCTCACGCTTTCCTATTGGACGCCGCGAAATCCGCGGTCTCCGAGGCCGGGCCTGGGGCCACACGGGCAAGAACCGCCCCCTCTGACACGTGGACCTCCTATCCAATCAGAGGCAGAAAGCCCGGTCAGCCTATTTGCATACCGATACCGTATATATGCTCAAGGCCTGCACGCTCGGCTTTCGCTTAGCAGTGTCTACCGCTTCTAAGACGTGGGTTTCTTAAGGAAGTGGTGCCTGCTTCTCCCGAATGAGATCTAAAGTCAGCAGTCCAGCGCCTGAAACACAGAAGAGCAAGGTCACTATTGCCCTGCGTCGCACTTCCCAGGCCATGTCCTGAACGCCAGCGCTGAGCTCTCTGCTGAGCTCTACTGCTAACACCTCCCCTTCTCCCCAAGCCATCGGCTGGACACCTGCATCAACCCCTAATAGTAAGCAGAATGCTTCATCTGAAGCTCCTATCAGCGCATTCACATGGAAATTCACATTATCAACTTTTTTTGTAATCGTTTTGGGGTCTCTAAAGATGGCCTTTTGGAGTGCGGAAATGAGCCACAAGAATCACTCAGCCTCCGAAGCTGTACAGGGTGTTCCCCTGGCGTTTTAGCGCATACCTCACATCCATGGCCGTCACTGTCTTGCATTTGGCGTGCTCCATGTAAGTCACTGCATCTCGTATCACATTCTCCAGGAACACTTTGAGCACTCCCCGTGTCTCCTCGTAGATAAGCCATGAGATGCGCTTGACACTACCGCGGCGCTAGAGACGGCGGATTAGCGGGCTTCGCAATGCCCAGGATATTGTCCCGTAAGACCTTACTGTGGCGCTTAGCGCCACCTTTACCTCGGCCAGACGTCTTTTAAGGTAAAATCTGGGCGATAGCAAGCAGCTAGCAGTTTCATTAGCTGCAAACCGGAGTTTATAATCCCTTGCAGCGAACTTGTTTGAAAACTTAAAGAAAGTGGGCTGTGCTATAGGCCTATTCCCTCTCTACAAAATATTTTGTTTGCTCTTTTGAAAAGTTTGTCAGGTTTTTTTTGTTTGTTTTTTGTTTTTTCCATAAAGTTGAGGAAAGACTCAATGGAATTTATATTGCCTTTTCTCAATGCTTAAAAAACAGTAGGCCAGAGCCAATACGCACTGGGTTTCCCTTCCCTCTTTCCTCTGCTTCGCTGGCCCGCATCTATCCCACCCCCCACCCCCCCCCCACCCCCAGTCTGAGCGAATCCTAATTCTATAGTCTTCCAACGGAATACTTACACTAAAACCATTCCCAGGCTAATGTGAACATCAGTAGGAACCAGGAATACTACTTGTTAAATTTCAAAGCAGTTGCTGTACACCTGTGGATCTTTTTAAGTCACTAGTTGGGGGAGAGGAAGTCTTTTAATGGTTCTTTTTTCTTTTGTGGCCCCGAGGAGAAAGAATTAAAATTCTTTCAAAAACTGTAACCTTCCCCATCCCCTGTCCAACCCCTAAGACTTTTCCCTTGTAGCTGCTTCTGCGCAATTTACAGATTTCACTACCCCCTCTATCCTCTCCACCCCAAGCGTGTTTTTCCTTTTCAACCAAATAACTATTTCTAGGATTATTTAATTGAAATATTGTAATGTCTTTATTTCATTAAAATCTGAGGTGCTCAAATCTTCCACTTAAAGATGGCAAAGTTCTTGTAAAATAATGGATGCTATGATTGTGGCTTTAAATAGTAATTTATACTGCAGATTCCCAATCAGGAGTCTCTCAACTCTTAAGAGAATCTGAGCAAAAACAAAACTTTTGAGTAGTGTCACCATTCTAGGAGACTGGAATGACTGTCTTCCCAAAAGGTTTTACTGCTATAAAAGGCAGCAGTATTTAGAGGATGATTCATGAATCTTTCCCAGGCATTTATTAATACATTGAGGAACGAATGTTTTAAATTGTACTGCCTGTCCCTAGTCCTGACGAATAAGCTTTTCCAGCAGGAAAGCTTTATGGTAAATATTTATATATAACTAAATGCTTATTTACATATCCTTACCATATGCATAGCTCAAAAAAGTACTGCTACTGTTGCTGTTAAAGGAGAATTAACAAAGCCCTCAGACTACTGCCTGGATAGCTGTGCGGAAAGGATCCTCAATAGTCAAATTGTACTACATGATTTTAATCCGTGGCTCAAGAGGCCTTCAAGAGTCAAGATTCTTGTAATGGTAAAATAGGTCGATTTTTTAATACCAAGACGAAGTAATCGAAGTTGGCACATTTACAAGTTAGAGATCTCTCTTGCTTACAAGAACAGAAAGAAAAATAGTGTTAATAATAATAATAATCTGTTAAATTTTTCGGGTATACTCTGCGATCTCAATTGTTAGAGGCATTTCTTGCTTGAGTGCCTTGTAATTGCGGACGGAGTAGCTCTCCTTCCGGATTTGTCTGTTTCTAACCATGACTCCTTAACTCTGAAGACGCTGTTTTCCTGGGAGCGAGCAGGGACATTGAAAACTCAAGATCCAACAAATTCAACCGAATCCCCAAACGCCGAGCAGGCGGGTCCAGCGTATTCATATCTGCTGTTATGTAAATGAGAACTAGGGACTTGCCTTTTTGATTGGGGAGAGCTAGAGAAGGCGGTCCTTCTGCCAGCGCTCTAATTGGGAGCCGAGCCTGCCTGTCATTGGTCACAGGAGCCGAGGATGTGCGGTGCCCAATGGGAAGGCTCTGCCTAGTGTCAGCAAAGTGTTGGTAGAGGCGGTTTCCGTGTGGTACATCGCATTCCCATACTAGGAACCGGACCGCTAGGGGTTTTTTTCCCCTCCCTGGAGTTTTAGGCGAGAGGTAAACATGTCTGGTCGCGGAAAGCAGGGCGGTAAAGTGCGGGCAAAGGCCAAGTCCCGCTCCTCCCGCGCAGGCCTGCAGTTCCCGGTGGGCCGAGTGCACAGACTGCTGCGCAAAGGTAACTACGCGGAGCGAGTGGGCGCCGGCGCGCCGGTGTACCTGGCTGCGGTGTTGGAGTACCTGACGGCGGAGATCCTGGAGTTGGCTGGCAACGCCGCGCGGGACAACAAGAAGACCAGGATAATCCCTCGCCATCTGCAACTCGCCATCCGCAACGATGAGGAGCTAAACAAGCTGCTGGGGAAAGTGACCATCGCTCAGGGCGGCGTCCTGCCCAACATCCAGGCCGTGCTGCTGCCCAAGAAGACGGAGAGTCAGAAGGCGAAGAGCAAGTGACCCTGACGCTGCCACAGGGGAGCTGGCTTCCCCAGCAAAGGCTCTTTCATAGCCACCCCGCAGTATTTTTGAATGTACTTGATGTCATGGAGGGCCGGCTCGACCTAGTGGGGAGGTGGGTGGCGAGGGGCCCACCGGGTCCGGGAGCCAATAAAGTCAGTGAAAATTGTGTGGTGGAGAGAGCTGTGTAGTCGCGGGGTCCTGCCGTATGACCCAGGGAGCGACTGGGAGACCCCTGGACGAGGTGCTGGTGGGTCGGCTTGAGCCACTTTCGGGCTGCTTTGGTCCGCAGGTCACCCTCGAGGCGCTGTGGGCAGACAGGGGAGACGAGAGGGGACCCACTGGCCTGGAAGTGGGCAGAGTTGGGAGCTCTGCGTGCTCGCCGGGAGGCAGAGGAGAGGAAGAGTAGGTGCGGCTGCGGCTGGGGGCATTATTTTAATTTCCCTTTCCGAGAGCTTTTGCTCTCCTGCCCTGTTGGGGCAGTTCAGGAACCAGTTCTAAGAGAGGGTGGCGGCGAGCTGGTCTTGGACAGGAAGTTGTCTCTCCGGCCATACTTTTCAAAAGATGGAATAACTTTCCGTCTTGGAAGAGTGGCTTGGAGGACACAGTGTCAACCTAACAGATTCTTCTTTGCTTGATAGCTGTTGTATTTTCGTGTTTTGGATATCAGATATTTTTATATACACGCTATGTCCACATTTCTTTAAAATGAAGAAACACCCAGTAATATGTGTAATACAGAAGCATGAGTCATGAGGTTGGAAAATTTTTCCCCCTGACGTTCATGTTGCATAACAGTGAAATGAGTTACATATGTTTATGAGTTTCTAAAATGATTTTCTCAAGTTTCTAGCTTCATCATGGTCTTATCTCCATCGTAGTACATTCTTTTGGAAATTTAATTGGTTTGATTTTGCTTTACAACAGCGAGTAACCCGACCGATGTTCCTGGGGTTCTACCACTGGCCTGAAGTTATGAGTGACCTCATTCCAACAACGCCTATGGGGTTGTGTTGCTTAATGACACAGTAATGCTTTAGTAAATACATGAGATGTGAGACAAAGGCAAGGATGAATGATATAAATGCAAGGAGAAACACATTTCAGAACAGGAATCCATATTTTAAAGTTAAACACTAGCGATCTTACTCTGTCCTTGGTTGGACTCTTCCATGTCAACCTTTTCTACCAGCTTCATCCTGGGCCTCATGGTCCACACAAAAAATTCCCCATTGAGATTTCACATCTTTGGATTCATCTTTCCTGTGAGACAGAGTTGAAGTCTTCCTGAAAAAGAAAAAAATAATAAGGCGTGTTTTCATCTTTGTATAGTTGGCCCATTTTCCCACATAGACTTTCTTTATTTCTTCCCCAATATTTACTGAACCATGAACAGTGCTAGGTGATGGCTAATGGGGGGTATAGCTATGAATGAGACAACTAGATTGCCACTCTTTTTTTCCCTGGATAACTGAAGACAGGACAATGAACAAGTAAGTAAGTTAACATCAGAGAAAGGATTCCCCTTCAGCTTCTGTTAGTTCTTGTGTCTCTGCTGCATGTGGAACAAATGTTGAAATTCTCCCCCGTGGTCATCTTTGAGGTGTACAAAGATCAGGCCACACAGACTCTTGTTACAAAGCAGATTATTGGCCCCTAACTTCTGAAGAGAATAGACCCCAAGGGGACGTACCACGGGCAGGTTCCAAGATGTCCAGCTGTTTGCGCCACTTCCCACCTTCTAGCCAGAGGCTTCCTCGTGTGTAACATAGTCGTAATACCTATTTTGAGGACTAAGATTGTTCCTTTACTTCCTGCCAGACATTAGATGCTCAGTAAATTGAAAGAAGTACCATTCTCTACAGGAATGTACGCTTACCCTTATAGGTGATACCTATAGGTGGCTGTAACCAAGAGTATTTTTTTGTTGTTTTTAATGCCCAATGGTTAGGAATAGCTGTAAGTGCACCACTTTGGGGCATGGCAGGCAGTGGAATTTTCGTAAAGTATATGTCAGGTGCTGGGTTTTACATTTAAGTCTTAATTTCCTAAGAGATTTGAGGCATCTGAAAGAGTTATTACGAAAATGTTAAAGAAATAAGGACAAAGGCCCTCAAGATGTTTATAAGGGGAAAAAAAAAAACCACTTTTTCTTTCTTCTCTAAAAATCCACAGGAGTCTAACCCTATTACCTAAAGATAAAAACAGGCAAAGTACAAAGTGACAGTGACTGCCCCCATTCTCATCCTATCTCCACGGCCACTTTCCCAGAGATACCTAGGCTCCCCTCAAATGCTTCCCCTCCTGCAGGGTTCATTCAGTCCCTTATCATTTCTGTTTCTCAGGGTTTTTTTTTTTTTTAAACTGAATAGTTTATTGGCAGTTAACGCATATGCCTTGCAAAATCAATTCAGCCTGTGATCCTGGATGCACAAACAGTTCTTGCCTATATAGGTTTGTTAACTTAAAAGGCCAACATTTTTTTTAAGCATGAGACCACATGGAAGAAGATTTAGGACAAAACCTGGTGGGACCTGAATTCTGCCCTTTAATAGATTTCTAATCCATAGTTGTGTTTATGGGCACACATGGGCTCTCCTGTGGAGATAAGCCATTCAGTGTGGCAGGCTGTGACTTGGCCAGGATTTGTTCATTTTTTTTTTAATTATTATTTTTTTCTACAAAGCCTTGTCTTTGTGTTCCTGAGAACTGATCTGTTTAGTTTAGTCTGCCTGGAATCAAAAGGTTTAGTCTGGCCCCATAATTGGTGATGACTGGCTTACTGTATGCAGACTTCACAAATCTCCTTCTGATGGTTGAAAGGTCATTTATCATGGTGTTTAAGAACTTAAACTCTGGAATGGGACCTACGTTCAAATCCACTCCTCACTTGGATGATTTTGGAAATGTTAATCTCTTTTAAATCTCAGTTTTGTCTATTAACTGGGCATAATAATAGAGGTACATCCCTGGGTTTTAGGGAGGAGTTAATGAGATAATGCAAACGAAGTCACTGAGTTTCCAATACAGCAATGTGCTCAATGAATGGTAACTATTATTATGTGAAACTGGATTTAGAGCAAGTAGCAGTAGTCATGGGACTTAATGAAATACGTAAACTCTGGCATTCTAACAATTCTGTGACTTTTCTGATAGCACACCATAAAAACAAACTTAGTGGCTGTTTTACTGATTCTAGGACATCCATAACTCAGTCTACAACAGGAAAGAGTCGTAAATATCGAAAGCTTGTGAACCTGAATTTAGATTTTTTTCACCCTGAAGACAAACTAGTTTGGAATTAATAGCTTGTTAAGTGCACCCATTCAAATGAAAAATGGATCCTGTTCATTCAGTAATTTATTGAGCACAGGTTACATGCTACACCCGTGATTGATAATCAGCTGTCAAGAAAAATGATTATAATCAGGAAGCTAATTATAATCTAGCAGGCGACATGTTAAGAAAGGGGGCTGCTCAGAGTGTTACAGTAACAGGAATAGAGTCTGTATCCTACATGTAAGAGTTAGTTTGACACAACTGGGTGTTCTAGGCAGAGGGACAGCACAGACAGAAGCACAGGGGTCAAAAGACAATACCTGCCCTGGATGTGAGGAAATCCAGGGGGAAAGATCTGGCCTGGAGATAAGAATTTGGGAGTCACGTCTAAAAATGGTCGGCGTGGATGAAATGATCCAGAGGGAATATAGATCTAGATAATATAGAGAGAGATGTGTAAGTGAATCTGTAGAGAACAGCCACAGCCAACAGGGCATGGGAGAGTCCCTGGAGTCTAACCTACTGGCACAGGAAGAGGAACTATGAACGAGATGACTGGACATGGCTTGTAGGACACTGGGAGAGAGAGCGACAAAGGACAGAGATTTTTCACAATTTGGATCTCTGCCCTCCCTGACACTTCCTAATGTGCCTTTCCTTTGACAACTAGAATATGTTCTTCAGAAGTTATTACATTTTCCCACATGGGAAACGCTGGCAAGCTGGCTCACTTTACCAGCCGCCCTGGAGTGGAGATGCATTTTCACATTCCACTTGCAGAAATCGGAGCTATATATGGTGACAGCGAAACAATTTCTTAAAAAAGCCGAGAAGCATATTGGTAAAGGACCATTTGAGCATATATCTTTTGTTATCTTCCCATGTATTTGCATACGGTTTTTTTTACATATTTTAATTTTAATCCATGTGTTGATACTGACTTAATTTAGTTTTAATTTTAAAGAAGTCATAGAAACTGTGGTAGCTTATTACTTCATAAAGCCAGTGTGGGTATTTCAGAATGATTAAAGCATGAGAAATTTGACCCTGACAAACTTAGTTAATGTTTAAATGATTAGTTTCCCAAGAGAGGGAAATGGAGAATAAGAGGACCAAAACAAAACGAAAGAAAAAAGGAAGTTGGCTGGCTTCAGCCAGATATGAAATTATCACTGTAAAGCTTTATTTTGTTTTCTCCACGAGGAGAGGAAAGGAAGTTTAGGTGCTGAAAAACGCATTTTAACGTATATATACACAAAAAACAATGACAGCGGATTTGGATAGTAACTGGGGTCTCTGATAATTTTATCAAGCCGTGTAATTAAAAAGCCAGCACAGCTTAACTCCAAATTATGGAAACAAAGGAGGGAGAAGCCCTACATTAAACAAAACTATCTTTCTTTCAGACAAACCAGAAAAGCAATCTGCTCATGAGGGATTATTTGCTTTCTGTTTTAAAGTACTTCTCAAATGAACTATCGTATTCATGCCAAAAAGCCAAGCGGCCACTGCAGCTGCAAGATATTCCTGATGAAATTGTGTCTATTCGAGAGGCTGGTGTACAAATTACTGTTATAATGAGAATACGCGGAGGAAGCAGGTGCTTGGCCTGGAAAAGGTGCAGTTTTAGATTGCGACGACTCGGAGAAATACAGTGCTTTTTAAAGACGTGTAATTTCTCATCCCCAGAACTTGGCCAATGGCCCATCATCACCCATTTGTGGATCCAGGCAGACAAAACTAAATGGACCAGCTCTCAGAGACACAAAGGCAAGAGCGAAGACGAAGTCTTCATCAGATTTAGAAATGATGACTTGAAACAAAGTTGGTCCTCAGGTCACTGGCCCTCAGGGGGTCAGCTCGAAAACAGAGTTGTCAAGCCTCTGTCCGT